TGTATAAAGAGAGCTGTAAAAACAACACTGACCGTGTCGTTCGGTAACAATGCACAACTTGATAATTTTCCAAACAGTCTTTCGATCCTCTTCACAAAGAGCTGCATCTTGTCCAACGTGAAGGACCAAATATCTCGACAGCTCAAGGAGTCTTTCACTTCCTTCTTCGCTCTGAAGCCATTTGACCACCCCAGGGACCTCGGAATGGAGTCCCTGGAAAAAGAAACATTCATGAAATGACAAATCAATAATACATATATATATGATGTGGCTTTAAATTCCTAAAAATAACTCACAGTGCTAAATTACAATCAATATTTGTTTACATGGAAAAGCGAATGAATGAGCCGCCGAAAACGTCATTCACAGTCTGGGATTTTTTACGTGACCAAATTCGAGACAAGACGGACTTTTTTGTGGCCATTCCAGCCACATTATGACCAAAGCATGATAATAATCCACCGCAGGAAAAAAGATGGCGGCTGTACATTTTACCACAATGCCTTGAAAACCTAACACAGCCTAAAAGGCACAAGGAAAGCCAAATTCTTACAATATTTGTCCCTGTATTAAAGACATTAAGTAGCCTAGATTTGAAGATTTTATAACGTTTCTGCACGTTTTTATAAACGTTGTTAAGAATTTCACGCGCTAAGAACCAAGGGTAAATGTACCAGTCGCCATCTTTTTTCTTACGGAGGATTGCACTTCCTTCTTCAGCTGTAGAATGTAGAAAGTCCGCATGGGTTGTCAATTCACAAGCAGAAAATGCGTTTAGTCCGTTCTCTTGCATACTTCTGATTCCCACTTAACAACTGAACGAGTAAATAAAAATAAATATTGATTGCTGTTAGTCTACTTGGTGAGTGCTGATAAACAGGGGTTTAGACCTATTACAAACTCTTGCTTTGTCGATTCGGATCTGAGCTACAATAAACCGCCGGCGTTAGTACTACTAACAGTTACTGTCATTAAACCACGAAATCTCTCGAAAAAGTACCTCACTAATTTTTATGAAGTCTGCTATAAAGAATATTTTGAGAATCGAACCATGTACACACATGTGCATTAATGTTGAGTCCTCCCACTGAAGACTTGGACTTAGCCGAGACATGAACGGCACAACCATTGTAGCTCTGGGTGCGGGTCACCAGGACCTGCCACGCACCGTGATGTGAATAAAAGTGTTTTTTGCGTTAAAATTTTTGTTGCCAGTTTGTTCGCAAAGATTTATAAGATATAGCCAGGCTTACCTCTTCGAGAACTTTGTATAGGAAGCTGACAGCTGTATTTTGCTAGGCAGAGAAGAAAACAATAAATAAACGTGTCATTTAGTGAACTCTAAAAATGTCCAGGGGTTACTGCTTTATATAAGCTACTTTGTATATACTGTAGGTAAGTGTGACATCAAAGGTATTGTTTTTGAGCTGTTTCGTTCTGATAACGGTATAAAATTTTGGC